TCGAAATTTAGTTAAAACTATAATTTTTATATTATTATTATATATATGTAACACATAGTGTTTATTATAGTTTAGCTTAGTCCTGAAAGCTCTCACTCAAAATTAATTTATGTCAAAAAATAACGACCGTCGCGTAATCTTCCATAATACCGTCCCAAAAATTTTATCATTTAACTAAACGTTTCAAATGCACACGTTTAAATGGATTGATAAACTGTACGATGAATGTTGTACTGATAAAACGAGTTATGTTCTTAATATAATATAATTGATTGTATTGAATAATCTTATGATGTTAAACCGATAATAATTATAGTTTATGTTATATTAAATTATTAATATGCGTGATTTTTTTTTGATTTTTTTAGATTTTATGTGGCCATTGGGGACCTTGCCTGACGGTGAGTACCATAATTAGTTTCAATAGATATAAATAAAACAAATATGGCATATTTTTTTAACACTTCGATCTCCCATATGTTAATATATATATATATATTAGTATTGTTTACTATTATATCGCTGAAGTCTTTTTTTTACACCTGAATATAATTAATCGAACAAAGTTTAACTGGGGAGGGGTGGCTGCTGTCCGATTTCGGCGTCATTAGTAACGTAACACGTCAAGGCTGATGTGTAACGTCGTTACAAAATAATAAACATTACCTCTACCCTCTGCGTGCTGGGAGTCGCGATACAATAGGGAACTTTTATATATATATATGTATTATTATATATAGGCGAATGGCCGATTGGTTGGATGATGACGGAGTTCCGGGTTGTGGGATGGTTATAGGGGAGGGAAGTGTGTTCAGACAATGACAAATGGTTTCCCTCGCCCGTACCGGTACCAAGCTATGAATGGTGGGGAGAAGATAGTGGTAAAATGAGAGACACACCGGCTAGGTGAGGGGTGAATTGGGCTGGCTAGCTGACACTCGCTGTTGGGTTCGCATAACAAATTATTCTAAGACACGACTAATTCCTTTATCGTGTCCGACGTTCCCGTCGTCATAGTTCTCATTAATCCGTTCGATATGTATTACGTCAAAACGATTCATTTTAACCATATAATTTATAAATGAAATTATATTAAATTTGTCTGTCAGAACTATAATATTGCATTATACTATACTAACTTTTAATTTTTGTTCAACGACGAAACACAATACGAATATTCTATTGTGTGTCAAACCATCGCCATGGTGGTTATCGGCCAAAAAATAGTTTATTCGCCTAAAATGATATTTTATACACAAGATAATATAATATAATATTAATGTTGTTTTATGTTATTCTTTTTTTTTTGGGGGGAAAAAAACCTTATTCAAACATATTTTAAACGTACATTTATCCGCAGCCGTTTTAATTACGGATAATAACTGCGTCAGCCGCCAGCTCGTTCTTTTTTTCCTTTTTTTTTTTTTTTATATATTTAAGCCCCTTGTCACTCTAAAGCGCTAGAAGGGATATGGTGAAGCTTATCTGGTACGTCCGACAAATGGATTCGTGTACGTCCAAACAGTCATCGCGACAGTTCCAAGACAGATGATCGTCCCATCGAGCCGCGCAATGCTACGTTTGTGTTGCGCGGTGAGAGGTGGATGGAACGGGAAAAAACATTTGACATTCATCCCTCTTTTTATACCGAATTTCCGTTCATTCAGAGAAATACTTGAGATCCGACCGGGGACGACGAATCACCATAATGAATTCGTGATATCAATCTTCGGTGTACAAAATACCCCGCGAGTTTGTTTGTGCTTTGTATAAGGGCGGGTAAGCGGGAGACACTGGCGGCAGTACTCGTCAGCGACGGACGAAATCGTGCGAAAACCATTATTTATGATGCTCACGTTATATTATTATTGCTGTTCTTCCACTAGACCGTTGTATATTATATATAAATATATTTACATTCATTTTATACATACTATATATTGTGCATGATATATGTATAATTTTATACATTTTGTGCGGAAAAATAGTATTATCTTTCGGTAGGAAAACAGTATCCGATAAACATTTGAAAACTATTGTTCATTTAGACAGATTTTCGACACACTTTGATTTTCCCTAGTAACATGTTTTGAATAAAATGTCTTGAGATTTTTTTCATGTTGAAATCTACACAATATTGTTTTGATTATTCGACGTATTTTTCGAATGACCTTTTTTCCCACTAATATATGAGGAAATTATAAAGGCACATTTTTATTCAATCAAATTATTTATTTCATTAAAGTTAAATTAATATTTATTTATTTATTCTTATGTCATTTTTTTTAATTATTTTAATATTATAATGTTCGTTAATTTTATCTTTATTCAGATTTATTAATTTTTACAAACTGCTTAAAATTAGGAACTAAAACAGTGGATGAATTAAGAGTTTGTTAGCAATTCTTTTTTAATACTATATAATATGTATTTTTTATATATATATTAATTAAATTTCGTTTTACGTCGTTATTTTTTTTTCTTATAAAAATCCACTTTTATAATACAATCTGACAATTATTTAAATGACGTACAATTAAAAAATGTTTCATTGAGATATTAATATCTCATTTAGATGTAAAATGAATAAGAGGAGAAGTAATCGTATTCATAAAATGTATTATGGGTTTGAGATTTGCTGCAGAAAACGAAACAATAAATCACCCAACGTATATAATAAAACATTATAATATATTCCAAGTTTAAATATAAAATAATTCGAATGGCACAGTACCATCTTTCGATATTGTGATTATTTTTTAATGACCTAAAATAATACAAAATTATTCGTATAAGGACATTTTTAACGAGTTATTTTTATAATATCTTTTTAAATGGAATTTTCTATGGTACTATATAGGATTAAATAATTACAAATTACAAATCATTAGAAACATACAGAAACTCGTTTCGATAATATTTTATCGTATGGTAAAATATGTAAATAAAGGTTATGATTAAGAAATTGATCCCAAAGAGATACTGCCTAAACAAAATATAGTTATATGAATAAATTATAACAAATATCCTAATGAAATTTTAAAATAACGTTGACAAATAGTAGACATATATTTGTAGGTATAATAAATAATTAATACATCACATATATATTTTAAGTATTATATTGTTATTGAGTACAGAGATAGTAAAAATCTCGAAAAACTGCTTGAGTTTAGGATTTGATGTTGAGCATTGGTAATTTCACCTTCCATCCAACATTGGTTTTAAAAAATTATTATCACTATTAAATAGTTTAAGCAACAAATAAATTTTTTTTTTAACGGGTTTTTTACCAAATCTCTTTTGACTTTGATAAATATTTTACTGTATCATTTAGTTAAAAGTATTCTACGTTTAATCTACAGATTGCTGAGAAAAACTTAAATTACGTATATTAATTATGAACTTCTATAATTTATACAATATAAGTGAAATACGGTTAGTTAAATGTCATCCATCTACATATTTTCATTCGAGAATTTCACTCAAGCAATAATTGATTGTCTTTAAAAATTCTACAACTACTCTAAACCTAAACTAGGAGGCTTTTATAAATTATTACACATTCATCTATTAAAACCAAGTGCATAGAATAAAATCCAATACTTGAAATAATATTTTAAAGTTTTTTTTTATTTTTATATTGCATAAGTCTATGAACTCTTAGGTTGTGATTATAATAATTAGTTAATTCATTATTTAGGCATCCATATTTATATGAATATTATTATTAACGTCTATCAATATTATAACGATACAAAATATATTATATGTATAGTTGTGTTTGGTCATCACTCCAAAATGTTTATTGTGAACATAAAAATGAACAAACAAAAAAATATTCATTCAATTCAAAATTTTCTATATTAGTATTTTACGTACCAAAGATGATCTCTTTAGCGTTTTCTTCAACTGTAAACTTATACATATACAACACCATTAATGATTTTGCAAATTATTATATTTTATTACTTATATGATGTTAATACAACTTATAAAATATAAAATGTACTCACGTATAAATCTTGGAGGTATTTCTCATAACTCAGTACACACATCTCGTATCATATCGCGACAACCAACCTGTGTACAATATATATTATTATTAAATAATAATATTTCGACTGTATAAACGTACTAGACGTTTCGTCGTAACTTCCGGGCGTACCAAAACATAATATATATATATGTATATATTTGAAATTTTGTTAGACTTTATATGCAATCGTCCCCGTACGATGTAGGTACCTGTATAGTTGTGAGCTTACTCTCATTTCCGTTTTCAACGCGTGTTTATATTATTACTATCATTATTATTATCATCATCGTCATTGTTATTTTTACGGTTATTGTTTTACTTTGAACAATTTTCCTATATATATATATATATGTGTGTGTGTGTATGATAAACTAATCGCGTATGTGTTTGTATTTCAGGTTTTCCGGCGGCTGCATACGCGGCTTACGCCTCTAGCCGAGGTTTTTCGGGTTACCCTAGTTTCGGACTCTCGTATCCAGCAGGTAATAACCACGCACAGGTCACTGTGCTCCCTTTTCCCGCACTGCTTGACCATCACCACAACCATCACAACACCCATCCTTTCTATATGCATGCCATGCCTCTGTGAACATAATTATTATTACTATTATTATTCTTATTATTATATTATATTATTATTATTATTATTATTATTATTATTATTATTATTATTAATGACGACACCAGTGCTCCGGGTCGAATTCGCAAAACCGAAAGTGTCATCCGTTCCGTCGGTTTCCATCATTAAGACTTACGCATAAAATATTTCAAATAAAATAGTCTACCTATTTTATATTATGCTCGTTGCACTGTTTCCCGGACGCTACTATCGATGACTCCCCCCTCCCCCTTATATCCACCAAACGTGAAGTGATATCGCATTCCCCTCGATCTATAATACAACTATTCCCCACGTATGATATCCACGTGTGCGTTTGTTTATACTATATTTTTCAATGTTTGTGTGTGTGTGTGTGCGTGTGTTTGTGTTTATGTTTATTGTTTATTTCTCTACCCCTTTAAAGTCGTCCGCTGTCGTACGTGTATTGCTCGTCGTCTGAGTTTCTTATTTTTTCGTTTTACTCACTCTTACTTATACTTACTCACTACAGTTTGCTATCCGCGACAATAATATCACACATACCTACGTAATATATTCGATACGTGGTTTGCGAACGTTCGGCCCAGACGCTCGGCCAGAATATTGCTCTCTTATAAAAAAAAATTCCGCTATATAAACGTAAAAAAAATACATATATGAAATGTATCACTTAAATATTACAATATATACTATCATGTGTCTATGCGCTTATTTATTATTTATTTTTATTGTAATAACAATAATTTATTTTATTATGCGTTTAAATCGCTGCCGCTAACATTATATACAGTATGTATATGTATATTGTATGTATTATATATTATATACATTTACATATTTTGAGTCGTCCATAATACGTCTCGCTTTCGTTCTATTGTTGATTTTTTTTTTCTAGGGAGGGGGGTAGGGTGGGTTCATTTATTTAACATTTCATCGATCATTAGGTATACATATGGGATGTAATTTATTAACTATAATATGTTATAAATTATATAATTATTATAACATCAATCAATAAAAAATAAACTCTGGAACCGTTTCACGCCTGAGTCGATGTATTATATATTATATATAATAATATCACTTTATCGCATATTTTTTTAACTCGTCAATATTACGCGGCAAAGTCGTTGTCGGTCTTAAACTGTCCATAATTTTATATTAAAGTGTGTTACTCATGACGACGACAACGACGACTACGATGACGATAAGTCAATATTACATTGTGTATTGATAGTAAAAGAATACAATTCTTCACGGTATTCAAGCCGAACATTATTTTTCACGCGAATCAAATAAATTCTAGTCGTTTTTTATCATAGAACATATTATACATTTAGTAACCGGTTAGAATAATATAATGTATAATTTCGGTAGTAATTTTAATATTATTATTATTATAATTATTATTCAAACTTGCGCGTTAGTTAAGGTTTACGTATAATAATGTATAAAATATAATAATAATATAATATACGATATTAATTAAACGTACGTTTCTTGATTCACGACTATATATATTATAACATTAATAATTATTATCATCGAATCTAGCTTTAGACATTTTTAATTACGATGTTTATTAGGTTAATATAATTATTATTAAAATATATTATATTGTATGTTTAATGAACAAACTTAGGCATAGTAAAACGAATACATATATAGTAGAAAATATTATATAATATTATTATTAGGGACAAGTGTAAATTTGAAAATAGAAACACTGTTATTGAAAAGAATATAATTGAAAACGATATATGTTCATCGCCATGATGGTTTCTATTTATTATCATAATATTGTTTGCTTCATTCTATTTTTTTTTTGTTTTAATACATAATTGTTTGTGTTTTTTTTTTTTTTTTTAAATCTGTTATTATAATTTTTTTTCTTCTCTCCGACGATGTATGTTTTTTTTGTTTCTTCAAATGTGTTACAAAATAAAATTCACGGCCGTTTGCCTATTATAATATACATATACATATTATATTATATATCGGTTTATAACCTATAAATGTCACGACTAAAATAATTAATCAAAAATTCTGTGATAAATCGCTATATACCGTTGTAAATTATTTGCGTGTATTATAATATTATTATAATTCATATAGTAATAATCTTTTGGTTTTATTTCGTTTTGGATATATTTTTTTTTTTTTAAGAATCAATCTTTTTGTCTACAATTTTGTCATAAATATTTTGTTGTTACCGCGTCGAATTTTTACCCGTTAACGTTTGTCATCGCCTTCATATACTCGTAGTAATAATATTATACACTTTAGATAATACCGCGTCAACTATATAAGTTTTTTTGTTTGTTATAATCGTTGCAATTCATGTATATTACTACTATTCTAGTGTGTGTCCGTACAACCATTTTGTGTATACAAAAAATGTGTTATTATATATATTACTATAAAACGGGTTAGTCAATTAATTAATAATGTCAGTCCGTTAGTTCACAGTAGCATGGTCCAATGTGTTTCATTACGGCATATTAATTTTAATTCATATATATAAATATATATATAGAAAATAATAACAAAAACAATTATTAATATAATATAGCATATTGTGTTATATATTATGTTTAATGGAATTGTTACACTGTTTTTTGGCCCGAGGGTCCGACTAGTCTAATTTTTTTTTCTTCATCTGTCAGAGAAGGTTCCCAGTAAAATTAATCGGCTAGGTGTTTTTAATGTTAAATATTAGGAAATAATATTATTTAGATTTAAGAAACTTATTTAAAACACAATATTCAGCAATATTATGTAAATGTTTATATTATATTATAAACGAATAATAATGACCCAATTATACTATGTGGGATTCTCGTTGTTAAATATAATTATCCTATACTTTATGTTTGTAATTTAAAAAAGTTAAATATTACTGTATTGTAATACTTTAAAATAATGATAATTATTGTTTTATAACAATGTATAATATGGACAATTTAATGTCTCATAATAAAAATCTATTATGTTACATACAATGATTATTCTATCAAATAAATTTAAATAAATTATTGATAATATACAAATCAAAAATGTTTTAATTTATGTAGGAGTGCATTTTTGATTTATATCGACCAGATACAATCTTTAAAATTGATTATATTACTTTAATTTTATTATATTTTTATTTCGTTATTATTATTTTAATTTTTTCTTTCTCTCTACCATAATACATTCCAAAGGCTCATCCATTCAAAGGAGGTTTTGCATAATTCATTATTTTTTTCTCCAATTCTGGTGTTTAAAAACAATTTGTTTCGATTGACGGCGTCGTCTGAAACCAACGACCGCAAAGTATACCGTACCGATTTGCATTATTTTCGTTTTATATATTATATAAAACCCTCTCTCTCACACCCTCTTTATATTTATATATATATATATACATACACATACATACACGCAAATTATATTCATTGAAACATATTACAGTATTTTAATGTTATATTTGGCCAAGCTACTTATCGTAGTTACTATTATATAGCCTATGATATATTTAGTTTTTTGCCTGAATTGTCAAATTAAATCCAAATTAGATTTTCCTCATTAGCGTAGAAGATATGCGTAATCGTATTTTACATACTTAAACGTTATAATATTATATCGTATCGTATCTTCGTTGAGTTGGGTTGAAATTTTTGATATTTTTAGATATATTTTTTGTCAATGTATTTGTTTGAACCGTTTCAATACGATGATCAAAATTTTCATTTCTTTTTTTTTGTTTGTTTGTACGTTTTGTTTTTTTTAACATTTTGTAGGGGTCGCTATTATCGGGACCAGGCCTCGGTGCGGTATTACTCCAACCCAATGCCATAACGGTAAAATATTTATCATTAATTTTTTTTTTTTTGTTGTTGTTGTTGTGTACCACCCACAATGTATAAAACAATAATAATATTAGACGGTCATAAATTATTGTAATATTGTTATTACTATCGTGATACAAGTGATATGCTGAGATAAACTCAATCTATAGGTATACATTTATAGCTGCACTTGCCGGGAAAAACCTCCTGAGGATTAGACGAGCTTATTTTTAATGTCCTGCACCTGTGCTGTGCGTAGGATAATATTATCGTCATCATCATCATTATTCTTATTATTCATTTTTGTTAACCCTTAAATGATATTAGTGTATTACCTACATTAAATTATATAGATATAATATAATGTGTGCGTCGTTTATTATTATGATATAATGAACGAACGTACCTACAATATCTTCTATAAGTACTAATAATAATATAGGTGCATCGAAGTTTTAAACACGTATTAATAATATTATTATTATTATTCGTTCCTTACGATAGCACAAACGTAATATTTTGTCAGGCTGACATAATAATAAAATCTTTATAATTTTGCAATGACCAAAACAAAATTTGAATAATAATACAGATTATATACTATTATACTATACAAAATATTAAATTATATCATGTGTTATGGGTGACGTCCGTCCAAGAAATATTCCTCACATAACCAATGTAGATGGATGAGTCTCTTGGATATTTATTTTTTTCTCTTTTCCTCGTATATAATTTAATATATATATACTAGATTTTTATGTATTTATTTATTCCTGTCGTTATTATTATTATTATTTTTTATTCATTTTATCAATAACGACGCAGCTTGTTTCGGAAACGTAACAGCAACGATTTTTTTGTTTTGTATTTGGTCTATATAAGTCATATATCTCATCCTAACTATACATATAATATACGGGTTGACCCCGAACCGTGCGTAAAACCGTATATGATATGAGTACACAAATACGGTACGCAATACGCATATTGAAAATAAAACAATATTTATATACAAAAACAATTGGAAGAGCAATGTAATAAAGGTGTGTGTATATGCTTACCCAACCGACGCTACGGTGGTGTTTGCGGCATATCGAAGAAAAACGCTGATGTCTCCTGACGATTTCTTCTCCGATAGACACGAGTAAATATTCAATATTAAAAATTATATACAATAAGTATATACTATGTATTATACTATTATTATTATTTATTTATTAATTTTTTTTTTTTAGCGGTATGAAAAAATCGTCCCGTTCCCAAAATTTGATTGTTTCCGTCTAATATTATTAATAACACCTGCAGTAAAAGTCTGGCGAATAACTTTTGCGCGTTACAAGTTTTATCAGTATTTCACTCTTCATTTTTGAATAATTGAAAAGTTAAAGTTTAATTGAATTCCCAAGCACAGAAACGTAGCTTACAAATGTAAAACGCAATACAAATATTCTTCATAGAGTTCTTGGCCAGGCTTACAGTATATATTATTCATATTCATATTATTATTATTGATTATACATATTGTAGTGTTTTAGCCTAGTGGTATAGACTTAGTTATTATCCCGTTTTTATTGAACAAACCTTATAATATTTTGTATTTATTTTTTATATTTATGACTTAACATATAGTGGCTTAGAATAGTAAAGAAACACTTAAACACAATATTAATACCTATTCTTGATCACGTGTTAATTAAACACAATATTGATAAAAACATTTAGTGGTCACAGTGGCAATAATAATATGTATTATTATTATTATTATTTTATTCGTTAATGTGGTTAGCGGTTTGTGTCACTGTGATAAATGGTTATGTTTTATAATATTTTAATTGTCGTTAAGATTTCTTATCTAAATAAGCCAGCTAACATCACTGCTCGCTCTGATCCAAGTGATGAAATTTTATAATATCGTTGTAATAATATAATTAGTTATAATGATCATGGTAAAACGATCACCGTACATGCACAAGAAAGTCTAATCACAATATACATTATAGCGTTGTTCGATGATGTATTATTGTGTTGCCCGACGCTTTCGCTGTACGATATCGATTTATTTCTTAATACGCTATTATTCATATAGTTAGACGTATATTACAATAATATATTTTGATATAATATTATTGTGTATATTAAAGTGTACAAGTATTTACTTAGACCATATAGCCACTTATATTATATTAGTACCTATATGATATATATATATATATATATTTATCTATTATTATTATTATTTTTATAACATATTTTATTTAGTAAAATAAAATAATATTTAGTGCATTAGAAAATGTAAGTGTACGACACACGCTAGTTTGTTTAGACGAGTTTTAATAACCACATAAAATATATCATAATAATATATATATATATTTATATTACCATCTATAGATCGTATATACAGCATTGAAACGTTTCCACTATCTATATTATTACTATTTGTATTAGTTTTTATTATTATTACAATTACTTATCTATTATTTACTATTATTATTATTTTCGAATATATTGTATTAGTATGTTAATAACCCCAAGTATCGTATTTTAATCTTAGATGATCAGTATTTCGACAATGCATAATATAATAATATATTTACGTACGAAATTATGTATATTGTAGTTCATAAACAACGCTTCAGTCGACTATGTTAAGTGTCAGTGGATGATATTATGATATTGAATATTCGTCGTAATAAATACAACGCTATTATACATTTCAAATATAATATATCATGCAAAGATGTATTTGTAGGTATGTAGTATAATTATTTAAATAATATAGGTATATTTGCTGTTAATAACAGTAATACAAAAAATATAATTTATACCTTTACCGCCTACCGTGGATCGTTGAAATTATTTACCGACAGAGACCTTCACCGTTAGCTACAATGATATAACATAGTTTTATGAAACAGCGTTTTTTTTTTTTTTTAATTTAATTTTATTCCAGTAATGATATATAACTTTTTTTCTTTTGCTTGGTTGATAATTTTTCGATTAGGCTTCCCGAAGTAGAAGATTAAGCTGTATACTACAGTGTGTTTATTTATTCTGAATATTATTTACAGTTAATTTATTTCGCCAGATGGCGACGATGACAAACATATTCCGGAACACCCAGATGATTGATTATCTGTTTCTCTGCTTGCGTACTCTGCCTAGTCTTCCCCGTCTATCATTCGGCCATCAATAAATGAGGAGGTGGGGTTCTTCCACACCTCCTACCACACGCACTTGGTGGTAAAAAAATTCATCAAACCCGTGGTCATGCATTAATGTAACAGTCCACCGACCTCGGTCAGAAAGCTTTATCCGGAAGTAATCATAAAAAAATCCTATATCCGCTTCTCTTGAACAAAAAAAAAATAAAAAAAATATTGCCGATCACATGCACACAAACACATACCTATATAATAAAAATATAGAGGAGAAATCCTATTTCGTTCGATGTTCAGTTGATAAATGATAGTTTATATTATATACTGAGTTGGATGAAAAAAAATAATATATATATATA